GAAACTATAACGAAATTAACATCAGGGGCACTCTCCAGAGCAATCAGACCTAAACCAATTCAAAAACTCATAGATATCATAATATAATATGGTCAGTGTTTTGTAGAAAGGGCGAGAGCGCCATTTTGAAATTTTATTTAGTTTTTCACGACTATTAAAATCCTAATCAAATAAATTGAACCTAATTAAAACCAAAACTCAATTTCAAAACAGGACGTAACTATTTTAAAACCGTAGTTAAAAACTAAAACATGGACCTCTGAAAAACTTTTCGAAATGTCGCTTCCGCCCTTTCCACACAACACTGACGAATTGTGATCTCTGCGGTGATCACCAACTGGTCGACCTTTTATTACACTGTATACTTTACTACTATACTATGATATTTCTAAGACCGAGGTTTTATGTACATAAGGATATTAGCAACATATCTAGCACATATTCGTTACGTCTTCGGTCATCGGCAATCTTGAAGCGAGCTTTATTTTTTTATAATATCAAGCATGTCAAAACAGAGAGTTCTGTGTGGATAGCCAGTGTCAACAGACGTGCTACGATTTTCGAGGTTTTACGCGAGACAATTGACACGACCATAACGTACAAAGCGAAAATGGCGGACTGAGTTCAGTCCATCGGCTCTATCAGCTCAACTTTGCGATACCACGCGAACTGTTAGCACGCGTGTCACACAAACTAAGCACTTCTATAGTATTTATTGTTCTTTGCGCTACCCTAATGTTAAGCAACTGTGATAATAGTAATCAACAAATAATAATCGTGGCCTTTTTTCAAAGTAAATAGACTCGCTCTTGACCACTACCTAGCCCTGGGGCGAAGACAGGGTCTACGATGGAACCAGCTCGCTCAGAAGATGCCTAATCAGTAGTACCTTAGATACTCGGTTTGTATGTGCTCGGAAACACAAACGAATGGCTGACAATCAAAATAATTACTTGATGTCAAACTGTAATATGAGTACGTGACTAATTCGGAATCGACCTCCGGAGAACAATCCAATGATGATCTTACCTTCTTCTCAGCAGAGGTGTCAGCGACGTTGGTGGTGACGACTTCAGCGGCAAGAAGCGAGTAGCTGATTAAGTTGAAGGTCGCGAACGCCAGAAACGACTTTGAGAGGAATCTGGGCCGCTCCCAGCGGATGTCGCGGAGATGGAACACCTGATGACAAAGAAAAATTGTTACAGAAACGTTTAATTTTGTTAAAATGTTTTTAGTATACCCCAATAGAAGAGGAATCTTTATTTTCCCACGCTCCTAACACAACGGTTCCTCTATTTGTGCTACACAACTGACGTACATAATGTGACAAAAAACCTCCTCCATTTGACAAAGATATTTCATTTTCTTTCGCAACTCATCAAGCCATCAAAAAATGATAAATTTATATGGGTGTACCGATTTCTATACATGTTTTGTTTTCTTTTTTCAATTTTTATTTTTATTAAGTGTTGTAATAAACCTATTTTATGCAATACACTTCTATAATCAACTATACTCATTTTATAGTTCTCTAAAAATCCGCTAGATGGTATGGACCCATTTTATTTAAATTTTGCATCGCGGTGTTAAGATTTCTCCCTTAAATTGTTACTACCTCGACCGAATTTTGATTATGTGAGACACATCGGTACTATAAATTTGTTCCTAGGAGTCAAGTTCCTGGTAGGAACGACTGCCCGAGTCTACCTGATAGTTAAAATGTAAACTTTTTATATTGTACCATAAGTACCGCTGATTAACCTGGCATTTTAAATAAAACTTACGAGCACCGGTCTGGTAGCTTTTTACTCAAATTGCTGACATTATTTCAACGTCAAAGAACCCCCCGTCTAAAATGTAGAATTAATTGTCCCAAGTAGGTAATAAATTTACTTAAGTAGGTTTTTTATAATATCAAGTGACGGGACGAACAAGTTGTGCGCGTGATGGTAAGCTACACGCCTGTCCATAACAGTTACAGTGCCACTAAGAGCTTTAAATTGCAAAGATCTGAGGGGCACTACCACTGAGGCATAAGTTGACAAGGCCCATGCGCCTGTAATTTCACCAGCACCATTACCCTTCAAAACCGGAACACAGTGATGCTGATATTACTGCTCGGCGGCAGAAATAGGTGTAGGCCGCATCTGTGTGGCCCGAGTATAACACATTTCTATATTGTTTTAAAGATAACAGTTTTAGGGTCGCCTCACTTGACACAGCTAGGCGATGCAACGCTGCGATGCATTAAAGCCTTAATTATGGAAACAAAATTAATTGTCAGGTCTCTTGGAACACTGGTCACGATAAAGGTCTCAAAACAATACCAAGTTCAATATTTACCAGTACTGTAAACATGATTGTTTTCAAACTCGACCAGACGTTAACTCTAATCGATAAGCATGTAACTCTAATGGCGGATTGCGTGACTTACGCCTCCTTTAAGTGTTAGGAAATGTAGAATTTGGCAATTAAAACTGGATAATTCGTTCTTAAACCTTCAAGATTAATTTCTAATCTTGTAACTAAGTAGATAAGAACGATTACTACCGAACCCGGGTATATGCCTTTAAATTTAATTTCTAGATTACGTACATTAGTAAAAGGTTTAGTAACAATCTCGCTAAAGGCAGAGAATAAAAAGTAAAGAGAAAGGTGTCACTCTCCGCCCCTTTTATTGATGGTCACATTAACGGAACGGCAACAAGGCTGTCAGTGAGCCGTGCGCTAAGAACGATTTTGATGTTTAAAGTTAGAATTCAATATAATGCCATTTCAGATAGATTAATTTCAAACAGATTATTTACAGATTATTATCTCATTAAAAGAAACTATTTTAGTGTGGGTATTTTATCATAGTGTTATTCTTCTGTTTAGTCTTTTGTTTAAGCTACTTTTGTTTAAACTTACAAAGTCACTGTGCACGTAAAACCAGAAAAATAGTTCAAGAAAGTGATGGATAACTTTACTACTTCATACACACATTTGCGTGTGTGCAGACAGAGCCTTGTTGTACATAGTAAGTAAATAAGTTTCTACCATTGTATCGAGTGTCCGGGGTGTGCTAAATAGTGTATGGAAACGTCGTGATGAAACGTACACGTCGAAACAGGTTTTAAAAAGGAATGTTATATGAAACCCGTGCATCGTAGTGCAACGCATAATGGGTTGATAACAATGTTTTCCAGCAGTAAAGCTCTTTGTGAATGAATTCGTCCGGCGAAGTACTGCCACAACAATATCTAGCGGTATAATCGAAACAATGTTGTAAGACCTTTCCATATTCATATACTAATTATAAACATAATCGGTTGATAATTTAGACTCTCTCACGTCTGCTTGATACATAGAAAACACTTAGCCCCAGCTGCTTATGGTAATACAAATGGTTCTCATGACTGTAAAGTGTACATAATTACGTCATCCTACGTACGAACGGTTCTTACGAGCATACTAATATGACTCAAACGTATTTTTGTCAAACCCTACAAGCTAATATTATTTTTAGAAATCTGCCGTACAAATAAAATCACAAACGCGTAAAATAGATAATTGGCTATATAAGGTCGAATATGGTTCGCGGCTTTTGTTTTCTCAACGTTTTTTGCGTAAATAACGTTTTGTAACGTGTTCTCTGAAATAGGCTGAGTATGGGTCATTTACTAGAAGAAGGTTTGCTGTGTTAGCCGTAAGTATGGTGTATATCTACCTACCTTTAAACTTTGTAACAGCCCCATATCTTTCTATATTAGTTTTGAGTACGGTGACCTTAGAGTATAGATAGTAACAGTGAAAGCTCCTTGTGAAAGAATTCGTCCAGGTTGGTACTGCCACAAGCAGTAATGTCAGCACATGGGACTTAACTACTTATGTCTCAGGGTGACGGGTGCAGTGGTAGTGCCCCTCAGATCTTTGCAATTTAAAGTTTTAAGTGGTACTGTAACTGTTATGGACAGGCTTGTAGCTTACAGGCGCCCGACTTGTTAGTCCCGTCACTTGATGTTATAAAAAAATACGAGAAGGGCATAATATATAACATGTGCGCGCACAGGAACCTTATAATTTCAGGTTCTGACCCCAGGTCAGTCAGAGTACAAAGTTGTCACAGACCTCTGTCACTTGACTTTATCCGGTTCTCGAGAGGCTAGTACCTCGGGTGAGCCGCCCCGGGTTAAATTTTGTAACAGTAATTTTTTTATGATACCAACTGACACGACGAAGAAGTCGTGAGCCTGGTGGAACGCGACACGCCTGTCCATAAAAGTTGTAGAGCAACTCAGAGCTTTAAATCGCAAAGATCTGAGGTGTCACCCTGAGACATAAGTTGACAAGTCCCATGTCCGTGTAATTTCACCAAATTACAGGCACAATCATGCAAAATAGCTACACTTGTGTGTTCAACATTTTTGATTGTTGATTGTTCGAAGCTGGGCCCAATCAACAACCCTCTAGGATGCCTCGTAGAGAGGCGAAACACATATCGGGTATATTTGTAGTGGTAGTGGTAATTGGCTGTGACTGTAATTGAGCTTGTGTTATTTTATTTTATTAATTTTATGCGAAGGAGGGTAGGAAAATTAACTGCTTGAAAAAAATATTTAACACAAGCGCAACAACTTTACACGATTTAAACTTCACCGGTTTCGCGGAGTAGAAAATTTTTTTTTTTTTACTTGGACTTCCACAAAGTAACGCCTGATTCAGTTAATTATTTTTTAAGCTATTAATTTTCTCACTCTCCCTCCCCATAAAATAAATAACACAATCGCAACTATAGTCACAATCACCACCACCAAAAGTATACTCGATACGTGTTTCGCCTTCCTACAAGGCATCCTCAAAATTGTTAATGCCGAAAAATTAATAATTTCTTAAGTACCATATCAAAAGAAATCACTCCAGGGCACTACCTAGAACACTCAGACCAGTACCAACTTGAAAAAATCCTTTTCCAAATTGGTCCTACCGGAAATCGAACCCGGAACCTCCCCATCCAGCTCAAATTGACTAAATATATCATAATTATTTGTATTACAATTTTCGAAAAAACTCACGTGATGCAGGCCCGTGCCGAGATACAAACTAAAACCCTTTTTGCTTTAAAGGCAAGCACATTCTTAATAAGGCCGTCAAAGGTTATGAAACTTTATCCTCAATTCTCTAATCAACAATTCCCCAACTATACAAGGAAAACGTCAGTCTAAATAAATAAGTGCGGAATACCGGCTCGGACTTTGTTGAAAGTGGTGTCCAAACCTCGGCCCTAGGATTCGTACAATTTCATGGCGCATTGTGAAACTGCGTAAGATTGGAGGACACTCTATGGCGAAGGATATGTCTAAAAAAATAATAAACTGATCGCAATGCTTACTTCATTATAAATCTTTGATATATAATTGTCCTGTAAACGTAATTAATTGAATGAGTGATGACAAATAGTTGCCAAAAATCTTTAATGCTCAATATCTCGAAACTGTCATTTTGTGGGTTAACTCATTTATGTAGAACACGGCCAGTGTAATTCGAACGTAGGAACTCCTAAGTGGTAAGCGTCGCGTTATAGTTTTTTTTTCGATACCTCCAATGAACACTACGACAATGTTTTTGGTCATCTTCTGCTGTTTTTGTAAACAGCCATATTTATTTACTAATATTATGCGCCCCGAATTTTGTGAAAAAAAAGAAAAAAACAATATTAAGAAAAAAACAAATAATCGAATTTTCTGACACAAGATACAAAAAACAAAAAAAAAGCAGAACAGGTCAAAAAATTAAGTTGGTGTAATGTTTATTGCAGGTATCCTTTTGTTAATTCCACCAAAATATCGGAATAAATAGTGGAGAAGCGGGAAAAACTATTTTGCTACATCAAGTAGTTTATATATTTATCATTAAATAACGGTCTTACAAAAAATATACGATGTGCCTAAGGATATTGTCTAAAGAATGTGCTAATTTGTTACACGATTGAATGTACTTTACTAGATCATATATAAAATCCTGAAAACAAGCTAAAATTATTTAAGAACAAAATATCTAACTTTGCACATAATGGTGTGTTCGTCCCGTCATTTGGTATTATAAAAAAATGTCGCATATGCATAATTAGTTTCATGTAGTTCGTATTATTTTTATGATTATCATGTGAAAACTTTTTCATATTAAAAAAACGACCTCTA